AATGATTACAAACTAAAGAATCTGAATAAATGGATGATTCAGTGAAATAATTAAGATTACGCTGTGATGAAAAGGATAGCTGCAGGGCCCGTTGTGGAAGTGAAATACTTTTTGTTACACAGTCATCACGACGCTCCACCTCCACAGGAGAGGTGAGACCAGAATAAATATGAAAAATGAATGAATGGATCTGTGTCTATTTCAAGAGCGCAGATGGTTTGTGATGAAAGCCCAATTAAGAGAAAACAATAACAGCAGCAGAGGTCATACATTTTATTGTTAGGTACAACATTAAGACAATAAATTGGGCGTCTTGTGACATAATGTGAACAAAGTACACTGATCATGAACAAGCAACAAATAAGACAAATATTATTCCATCTGTACGTCATCGCTCCATCACGCCGCCCTTCCCTGCTGATATTGCAGTTCATCTGATACTTTAGCATACACGTCTGTCACACAGAGAACAAGTCTGTGACTACATGTACCCGTGTACTTATACATAATCTATACATACAATCTATATTAACAGTAGGTTAACAAAAAGTGCTGTAAATTCATGCTACAGTGCTGTGCTAAATCAAGACTTCAAAGAACGCTTTTTTTTTTGGCCTAATAAGTAAAAAAAGAAAAGAAATTAAGGTATTATTTCTTCAACTTGTGGTAAAACTTCTAATTTCTCTCTGGTGGCCATTTCTTTTGAAATTAAAATAACTTTCTAAGTTGGTTACCCATCCGATTTTTTACGGTCGAAAAAGCTTGGCTCGCGTATTCGAGCTGTTAAATAAACTCCACATGATGCTACAGTTTGATGTGTAAAATCATCGTCAACATTAATCTCACACAAGACATTCGACAAGTTAACTTCACCGACGCATTCTACTGTATCTACATTATACAGTCAAATACGAAAAAAGTACAAAAAAATAGTTTATGCTTCACAGGAGACACGTCGATAATGATTTGAATCCTGTGGCGACAGAAACGGAGTCATTCTACGAACACGAGTTAAAACATCAGTGGTATAAAAGTCGTCCCAGACAAACAAAACAAAACAACAACGTGCCTCATGATGAAATTCAAATCAAAGCTTCACTCAACATTTACATGAGAGAAAAGAAAATAAAGTGCCATGGTGTAAATAAGTTAGTATGAGGAGAGGTTGTTTTTCAGTGTTTCTGACGGCAGGTGGAAGAGTCTTCAGGTGGAGTGCAGAGTTCAGCGCAGTGAGTTGGTGGTCATACAGTCGCACAGAGCCCTCCTCTCCGCCCTCAGCACCAGCATCTCCGTCTGGAATGGACAAATCAAAAAACATGACACTGTGAGTTCAAAAGCTTCTGTAACTTCCTCTGTAGCCTCTTGAGATTCCCTCGGAGAAGCTGAGTTCATCAAACATAATAAACTCTATCACCTCTGGGATTTCACTTTTTGTATGTTTAGTTTATTCACCTAAAGGTGCGAGTACTGGGGCGCCTGTAGCCTAGTGGTTAGTACACACTCCATATATGGAGTACCGGTCTGAATCCGACCTGTGGCTTCTTTCCAACATGTCATTCACTTCTCCTTGAGTTCGGACTCTATCCACTGACCTATCTCTAAACGAAAGGCACAGAAAAGCCTCAAAATCAAACCTCTACAGTCCAGGGTGTAGCCCGACTCCGGGGTTAAGCGGTATAGATGATGGATGAAATAAATCACATAAAAGTAGGTTAAAGACAAAGTTTGTAAAAAATTAAAGCCTCCAGAAAATCATTCCAGCCACCGTCATCCGACACAGCCCTCTTTGTTCAAACACAAAGTCATCATCAGAGACAATTTGTTCTTTGAAGGACTCATCATCTGCTGAATCATGGGCTCATGTCACTTTGTAAAGCACGGGAGGAGAGCATTCCTCAAGCGGGAGCTTTTTTTGACAACAAAACCTGATTTTTTTTCGATGTCCTTCACTCACCCGGGCATCCAGGTTAAACGCCGTCTTCTTTAAGTCTTGCAGTGCCCTCTGCATGAACTCAAACGCGTGGCAGTCCACACATGGACGACCTGGAGATCAGAGGGAAAACTTCAGCAAGTACGTAGAAACACAGAAGAAGAACATAAATGTCTCCTGAATGAATTTGTTTGTTTTTTTGCTTTATACCTACATTACAAGGCAATTCATTAGCTACATAGCAGTATTTGCCTAAGGCAGGGATGGGCAACTTTGGTGACAGCAAGGGCCACATTCATTTAATTCTCACTGCCAGAGGGCCAAATTAAACGATTAAAGTCGATTATGTCTCAAATTTAACTCCACATATACCAGTGATCAAATATTATTATGAACATATTTCTGGTTTTCATGATAGATTTTGTCATGTTTTCTTCATGTTTCCAATTAATTGATATGTAAAAATTGACCTGAGGGGCCACGTTGAGGGTTGATGGGGGCCGCATGTGGCCCCCGGGCCACTAGTTGCCCACCCCTGGCCTAAGGTTAGCTAACATAAGTTGTGGTTATACCAAACCAAGCTGGGCTAGAGCAACAAAGCCCCTGAGAATAATGAATAGAGCGACTATAATCACACTGAAATGAACTGATGCTGATGTGTTTTACAGCTCTTATGATGTACCACATATTGCTTTATGAAGATATTTATGATGATTGTTATTTTGGCTTTTCCTGAAAGGTTTTCTGTTCCATTATTTGGACATGCCTGTGATATACCTCGACATCTGTGGTCGGGTTTTGGCAAGTAGAACCGTTTGTGAACCAATCCAAAATTTAAAAGCCATAAAAAAAAGTTGATTTGCGCCACTAAAAATCATTTCCACTTCTTCTTCTGATCAGCAGGTTACTGTGCTGCCACCATGGATGTATTACGGCTGCCACTGGCACTGATTATTTTAAAGCAGCGAAGAACTAGTATCAGGATTTTGTTTTCATCTGATGGTCATACGTAAAAGTTTGTAAAATGTCAGTCTTGTTATGTAGAACTAGGTTTAAAAAAAGGGTGATTTTTTAAATTCCTTTCTCTATGTGAAAGGTCTATACCAGGGGTCTCCAACGGGTAGCTCGGGGGCTACCAGGCGGGCAGGTTTTTAGTAGCTCACCTATAGGTTGAGCGACTGTGTTAAAAAAAAAAATAATAATTTAAATTTAAATGCACCTCTTTCTTGGACATTGATGTGAATTTTCAGCAACATAGCTCAGTATGTGGCACAATAAGAAGTGTAAAATAATCATGTTTTTTTTCTTGGACCTTGATGTGAATTTAATATTATTGATAAGCATCGGCTTATTGCAAATTCACATCTGTACAAACAGCAGCTTAATTCAGCTGATGTTCGCCGTGGTGTAAATAAATGCAAGTAGCTCTTGGTCATTTTTTCAAAGTAGCTCTCAGATGAAGAAAGGTTGGAGACCTCTGGTGTATGTCGATTAAAAGGTAGGCCTAAGTATCAGACTCAGTATACCTGGGAGATTAAACATGTCCAACCTTAATAATGACAGGTTTTACTACATGCACAACAAACCCCTGCTATATGCCTTTAAACCAATACAGCTTTGCACCTGGTAGGAATGATAAAGCGAGTCTTATAAATAGCAGTGAACATCTTCATGCTGTGATTTATATTCAGACTATTCCCACTGAGAAACCTCTGAGGGACCTGCTGTCATGTGACCTCAAGACGCATCACTGTGGCACATATATTGACCATCCTCTTTCAAAATATTATAGCCTAAATCCTGACAGTAAACAAAGACAAATCAAATGAATGAATCTTGTATTTAAATGCACATACTTTCGGCAGGGATGACGGTCCCTGTCTCCTGATCCGCATCTGCTGCACCGAGACTGAGAAGCTGGAGCGCCAGCAGGAGCACCGCTGCCTGCACCGTATATCCACTAGCTGCCATAATGATGCTGTGTTCAATTATCACTACCTTTCAGATAGGAAATACAAATGACAGACACCAACAAATGCAACAAAAACAGCGTTAAAAAATGTCCTGCACCACCGTCAGGGAATAAAAAAATAACAACATCTGAAAGGCTTTGTGTTTAAAATATTCCCTGTTTTCATCGAGGAATTGGTTTTTGTATTTTACATCGCAGTCTGCAGTTAAAAAGTAAAGCTCAATTAACAAACTGAACGTTAACCAACCGTGAATCAATCGAGGATATGATGCTCAACACCAGATCAGCGCAAGATGCCCACCGAGGATTGTTTTATGTAGACTGAAGGACTGCGCATGCGTGAAAAGCTCATCTTCGGGGACCAGATTCAAGACTTCCGGTGGCAAATTCGAAATGAATATATTAAAAGGAACAGATTGCATGTGTTTCATAAATATAAACAGAAATGGTTTTAATCATTTGGTGTTAGACGTCGGCTATTTAAAACATTATTCACGTGCTTTACTTTATTTATTTTCTGCCACTCTACAACATTTGAAAATGATAACACTTGATAAACACTATAACACTAGATAAATATATTTAAGCATACTTAAATAGATGAATATATTTAAGCATACTTAAATAGATAAATATATTTTAGCATACTTAAATAGATTTATGTTACAACTTTGGTAACTTTGTAATTTTGCAGATACATTTTTTAAAATCAAAACATCTTTTTTTTTTAAATATGTTTATATTGTGGACCTAAGAATATATTTAAAGTTTTAAAATGGTAAAATAAATAAAATTGTTTCAAAATATAAACCAGAGAAGAGCGTGTAGACTAAAGCCATGCCAAATCAGGAGACCAGAAAACTAACGAGAAGAAGAGGAAGCAGGCTACGTGGCATTTGACCCAAACAATAACATATCCTAAATGTATTTTTTCTCCCTTTATTTAACTGGTGTAAATATGTTTGATTTTTTTTCTTGTTATTTTTAATAATTATATTCCTGTTTTCTTGAGCTGTTGTAACAAAAAAATTTCCCCCATGGGGGATCAATGAAGTTTATCTTTATCTTAGAATAGAATAGAATAGATGTTTATTGCCATTTGCACAGGTACAGGACAGTACAGGTACATTGGAATTCTTGTGCGTTTCTCCCTGAGTCAGCTTCTACACAAAAAAAGTTAAAATTATATATAAAGTAGAATAGCATTATAAGAAAAAGTAAAAGTAAAATTAAATAAGTTGTAGTAACAGCTAAGTGATTTAAAATAAACTGTACAGAAGCTATACACTGTATTAAAGCAAAGATATAATACAAAACAAATAACAAAGGGGAACACTGTACAATGAAATGAAAATATAAATATGTTTTCTTGTCTCTAACTTTCTACATCTCTTATTGCACCTGAGGTTATTGCACACATATTTTTCACATTATATAATTGCACAGTTTTTTTTGTTTTTAAGGTTAATGTTGCACACTTGTGTTGCACTGTGAGGTGGTCAGCTGTCCATTTAGTCTGTGAAGTGTTTATCTTTATCTTTATAACATAGGTAATGCTTGTAAGGTAAAGTCACTGTAGGATAATTGCAGATATTACAATTTTGTAATTTCTATTAAATCTTGTCATGTTATTAGATTTCAATCGTACCACGCTGGACAATTTCAATGTAAGTGTAGAAAATAAACATTTTATTTTTGTTTCTTGTAGGCTACTTCTCATCAGATTACAACCTACTGCATCATAGGATAGGATAAAAACTTTATTGATCCCCAGAGGGGAAATTTGGGCGTTGCAGCAGTACAGACAAGTAAGCTCAAAATACAAAATACACATTAAACAGAATAGATTAAATAAGATAAATAAAAACAGGGGGTATATACAGTACAAAATGAATGATGAAGTTAACTATGCAGGGAGTTGAGACAGTATTTGCAGATAATGACAAGATAAAGTGACAAGTGATGATTAAAGTGACTTGGTATGATAAATAGCAGCAAGTCATGTAAACAGCAGAGAAGAGAGGCAGAGTTGTACCACAGTAATGCAGAGTGCAGTTATATAATATAATGTAGTATAATATATAATAATACATATAATATAATCATATTAAACTGTCTTATGTGTTTTTTGTCCAGTTAGTTATGCTCCAGTTGAATATTAATGTGTCATTTATAGTATGTTTATCAGGGGGGTCTGAAAGGGGATTTCATTCATTTAAAATAAAATGTAATTTTTCTTTTCATATATAGGCTACATTTATGAGGGAATATACACCATTTGAGCTTTATTACCAAAATATATTTTAAAAAATGGATAAGATATTTCTGGTGAAAAACACCATGTTTCTTCTTTTACATTTGTATTCTATTCTATTATTATATTATATTTGTATTATTATTATTATTATTATTATATTACATTGTATTATATTATAATATTATATTAGATTATTATTATTATATTATATTATAATATTATATTATATTTGTATTATATTATATTATATTATTATATTATATTTGTATTATTATTATTATTATTATTATTATTATTATTATTATTATTATATTACATTTGTATTATATTATAATATTATATTATATTTGTATTATTATTATTATATGATATTTGTATTATATTATTATATTATATTTGTATTATATTATATTTTTATATTATATTATTATATTATATTACATTTGTATTATATTATATTATATTTGTATTATATTATTATATTATATTACATTTGTATTATTATTATTATTATTATTATATATAATATTTGTATTATTATTTTTATTATATATTATATTTGTATTATTATATTATATTATTATATTATATTATATTATATTATATTATATTATATTATATTATATTATTATATTATATTACATTTGTATTATATTCTATTATTATATTATATTTGTATTATTATTATTATTATATATTATATTTGTATAATTATATTATATTATTATATTATATTACATTTGTATTATATTATTATTTGTATTTATCAGCTGTTAAATAAATGCCGCCGTCCCTGGTGTGGGCGGGGTCCTGACTATTTTCTTAGGTAGCCTGTTAAAATGCCCGAACTCAAAACACTTCTTTTTCCAAGATGGCGTCGATGAAGGACAGCGACACCGGCCTGTGGCTTCACAACAAACTGGGCTCAACGGACGAGCTGTGGACGCCTCCGAGCATCGCCTCCCTGCTCACGGTGTCGGTAATCGACAACATACGGCTCTGCTTTTCGAGCCTGTCGCCGCCGGTGAAGCTGAAGCTGCTGCTCGGGATGCTGCATCTCCCCCGGCGGACCGTGGACGAGGTGCGTTTAGCTGCACTGTTAGCCTGGCACCTTACTTTACCTATAAACTCACAAACACCGCCGAGAAAACACGCAGAATCTCATGCATTTTGCACCAAACTGAAAGCGTAATCCGCATGTGTGTGTTCCGCACAGCTGGAGGTGTTTTTAAAAGATGTTTTCAGGCTGTTTATCTGGCATTAGCTCGCTGTTTTCAACAAGGCTAAGAGGGTCACATTTAGCCTGGCTGAGCCCGCACAGACAGACATGATGGTGGGATGGGCATGAGGGAGCTAGCAGAGAGAGCTGGAGGGCGGTACTAGCGCATCACTGCTCTGTGACACACACATAACAACAGGTTTATTACATATTTAAACTAGTGTGCGTTGATTAGTCTTCACTCTCTCATGTGTCAGATGGAAATGTCTGTGCAACAGGTGCAGGACAACAGCAGAGAGCAAATGTAAACAAGGTGCAAATTTAATGTGCACAATAACCCAATGTTCAGTTCAGTGTCTGCAAAAATGATTTCACATTTAGTTGCACGGTGGTTAAAGTTTAAAGCGGTGATCACGGAGGTAAGCAGGTTCGCAACAAGCTGCAGGTGTTGTTTCCAAAACAAATACATTTAGGAAAAAAAACAAAACAGTTTGCAAATGTAAACAAATATGTCGAAATACAAATCAATAAGGTGCAAATTCAATGTGCACAATAAACCAGTTCAGTGTCCTTAAAGTGATTTCACATTCAAGATAAGAGAAGATATACTTTATTCATCCCAACAGGGAAATGTAGGTGTTCCAGCAGCCAGCATACACACACACACACACACACACAACACATATATACACACACACAACACAACACAACACAACACACAACACATATATACACACAACACAACACAACACATATATACACACAACACAACACAACACATATATACACACAACACAACACAACACACAACACATATATACACACAACACAACACAACACATATATACACACAACACAACACAACACACAACACATATATACACACAACACAACACAACACACAACACATATATACACACAACACAACACAACACACAACACTTATATACACACAACACAACACAACACAACACAACACATATATACACACAACACAACACAACACACAACACATATATACACACAACACAACACAACACATATATACACACAACACAACACAACACATATATACACACAACACAACACATATATACACACAACACAACACAACACATATATACACACAACACAACACGTATATACACACAACACAACACAACACATATATACACACAACACAACACAACACATATACACACAAACGCACAACACATATACACAAACAAGCAACACATATATATATATATATACACACAACACAACACATATACACAAACAAACAACACACACATACACACACAACACATATACACACAAAAACACAACATATATACACACAAACACACAATATAACACATATACACACAAACGCACAACACATACACACAACACATATACACACAAACACACAACACAACACATATACACACAAACACACAACACAACACATATACACACAAACACACAACACAACACATACACACAACACAACACATATATACATACACACAACACATATACACACAACACAACACATTCATACACACAACACAACACATATATACATATAACACAACACATTCATACACACAACACAACACATATACACACAACACAACACATATACACACAACACAACACATTCATACACACAACACAACACATATATACATATAACACAACACATTCATACACACAACACAACACATATATACATATAACACAACACATATATACATACACACAACACATATACACACAACACATATATACATACACACAACACATATATACATACACACAACACATATATACATACACAACACACAACACATATATACATACACACAACACATACATACATATCCTCATCATCATAGATTCCCTTAATTCTTTTAAATCTCTTAAAACAAACTTTTACAGACTTGCTTTCATGTGATGTCGTCTTCTTACTGGTTTTACTATTTTTATCTTCTTTTACTTCTTACTGTTCTTTTATTTATTCTCTTATCTTAACTCTTATGTTTTAACTTGGTCATTTCTTATCTTACTTACTTTGTCTGTTTATGTTTCATATTTATATTTACTTTTTATTTGTATTAATAATAGTTTTTTTGATCCTTTCACCACTTGTTCTATTTCTTTTTCTGCTCTTACCTTGTTGCTGTTCTCTTTTTGCTTTCAGCTCTTTTAGTTTTAAATCTTTGCTCCTCTTGGTCTCAGCTCATGTTGTTGGGTTCTCGTGTTGCCTGGGTTCTTATGATGGTTCTTATGATGGTTCTTGTGTTGCCTGGGTTCTTGTGATGGTTCTTGTGATGGTTCTTGTGTTGCCTGGGTTCTTGTGATGGTTCTCATGATGGTTCTTGTGTTGCCTGGGTTCTTGTGATGGTTCTTATGATGGTTCTTATGATGGTTCTTGTGATGGTTCTTGTGATGGTTCTTTATGATGGTTCTTGTGATGGTTCTTTTCATGGTTCTTATGATGGTTCTTGTGATGGTTCTTATGATGGTTCTTGTGATGGTTCTTGTGATGGTTCTTTATGATGGTTCTTGTGATGGTTCTTTTCATGGTTCTTATGATGGTTCTTGTGATGGTTCTTTATGATGGTTCTTGTGATGGTTCTTTATGATGGTTCTTGTGATGGTTCTTTTCATGGTTCTTGTGATGGTTCTTATGATGGTTCTTATCATGGTTCTTATGATGGTTCTTGTGATGGTTCTTTATGATGGTTCTTGTGATGGTTCTTTATGATGGTTCTTGTGATGGTTCTTATGATGGTTCTTGTGATGGTTCTTATGAAGGTTCTTATCATGGTTCTTATCATGGTTCTTATGATGGTTCTTATGATGGTTCTTATGATGGTTCTTTTCATGGTTCTTGTGATGGTTCTTTATGATGGTTCTTGTGATGGTTCTTTTCATGGTTCTTGTGATGGTTCTTTATGATGGTTCTTGTGATGGTTCTTTTCACGGTTCTTATGATGGTTCTTGTGATGGTTCTTGTGATGGTTCTTTATGATGGTTCTTGTGATGGTTCTTTTCATGGTTCTTGTGATGGTTCTTTTCATGGTTCTTATCATGGTTCTTGTGATGGTCGGGTTCTATATGTCTGTTGGGTATCGTGCACTTTGGGTTCTTTTCTGTTGAATTGTATTTCATTATTTTTAGTATTTTACATTTGTTTGTTCTTGCTGTTGTTTCTGTTCTTCTGTGTTTGGTTTAGTTTGCTTTGTTCTTGTTTTTGCTGTTTGTCAAATCACTTTGTAAACCTGTGTTTTTAAAAGGTGCTATATAAATAAAGTTATTATTTTTATTATTCACAGAGGTCACAGAGGGAAAAAAAACAGTTTGCAGGTAGTGATGGTAAATATAATGATGTGGATTGTAAATCTGAAGTTGCAGTTTTTAAGAGTTAATCACTATTGTTAAAAGTTTTTAGTTGAATTTATTCAAGAAAGTAAAAAAAAAAAAAAGAGGTAAAAAAAAATCAAAAAACTTTAAATTAAATGTTAAGACCTTCAGATATTGATTCAGTATAGATCTGTACATAGTTAACTTTCCCTGAAAGGTCGCCATTATTATTATCAATAATGCTTGTATTTAATTTAGATGAATGTATCTTTTCTTAGCATTAAAAAACCTTTAGTGCATGTTGTTAACAGTCAGCAGGTGGCTCTTTTGTTCTTCTTCAGTCAGTACTAAAGAAGTGTTCAAAGCTGACTAATCTCAGTGGTACCTGAATAGTTTTGTTTTATCAAATGAATACTGTTAATTTAAATGTTGAGTGTTTTATTATTTTCTTTCTGTTGGACCTAATAAGCAAACAAAAAAACAGCATCCTGTTTGGTTCAGTTTTTCTTTAGCATATGTTTTCTGAACACACAAGAAGTTCTTCAGTCCATCCTTTGTTTGTAAAGTGTTTCACTGATGTAATCTTCTCTCTCACCAGATGAAAGAGGCCCTGTCAGAGATAATCCAGCTGGCGACGGTGGATTCAGAGCCCTGGGTGCTGATGGTCGCAGACATCCTCAAGTCTTTCCCAGAGACCGGCTCTCTCAATCTGGACTTGGAGGAGCAGAATCCCAATGTGCAGGATATCCTGGGAGAGCTCAGAGAGAAAGGTGAGAAGTGTGTTAGAGTGCTTCTTAAAGCTCCTGGGAGGAGTTTGTAACGGGTTATAAAACAGAATGATGTTAATACTGAAGCCTCCATGTGATCCTCAAAAGAAAACAAATCCATCAATAAAAAGATTCATTATTTCTATATAGTTCTTTTATATGCTTGTTACACCTGCTGCAGGGAAGGTGTCAGACAAGGCGACGAACAGCACGCTGCCTGAAATTAAGTTTTAAAGTTTGATGAATTGTGAGATGCACATGAGCAGTTTCTAAAAGAGAAGGATTCATGTACAGGACAAAATCAGCAAAGAGATAAAGGGTCCTACTTTGTCCACAGCGAGTGCTAAAATCAAGAGCTTTAAATTCATTTAGTTGTCATGACTTTGTGAATGTTGACTTTATTATGATAAACATGCTTAGTTAATTCATGGTAAACATGAAGTGAAGACAAATATTCAACATTTTTTACAATTCATGCAGAGGATCTGCTACTTGTTGATCACTCAGAAGTCAAAAACCTCGATGCTTGACTGATTTTTAAGTTTCATTTGTAGTTTCACTCAGCCAGCTGTTGAAATGTTCAAACTGCTGCTCACACTAGGGCGCTGGGTATTTCCCACAACCCCACGATACATATCACAATACAGAGGCCACGATACATATCATGATGTACGTTGAGTTTGGATAACGACCATGTCCTACACAGAATTCACTACAACAGCTGTTCTTTATTATTAAGACCAACAGCACAGGTGTGAGGATCCTACAACTTCAAACACTTCAGTTCAGCTCCTCAGAGATCCTAGAAATAGATTCAAATATTTGAATCCCGGAGCCGTGGCTAAGGTGTTCTTGTGAAGTGCACCATAGGTCAATGTCTGTCAAAACTGTTATCACAACTCTGCAGCCATATCGATTCTGTAACAACACAACATGTTTCCATCACAGTTAGTTTCCTAGTTGTGATGGGAAATGTATGTACCCATCTTTATAAACACAAAGTAATGTGTTTTCCTTTTCAAAGCAACTACCTGATGCCCAAAGCTGGGTCATGGATTTGAAACCAAAGAGAGAATTTTATAATTTTGCCAGCCAGTTTAGACTTTCCAGACACTTCATGGTGAGTCAGGGTGTTCAACAGACTGTCCTGAGGTGAACTGCTGTCTAATCTCTCCCTCCTCCCCTGCACAGTGGGAGAGTGCGAGGCGTCTGCCATGCTTCCTCTGGAGTGCATGTACCTGAACAAGAGTGCGTTAACCACCCTGGTGGGACCCCTAACACCCCCCGTCAAACATTTCCAGCTGAAGCGAAAGCCCAAGAGTGCCACCCTCAGAGCAGAGCTGCTACAGAAGTGTAAGTCATTTTCCGCTTCAAAGTGGTGGGCGGGGGAATGCAATGCTTCATTTT